TCGAACCGCGACAGTGCAGGATGGGAGCTTGACACGCTAACCACTCGGCTACACTGCCGCGAGGGTAGTAGTGGTAGTGGTAGTCACGAAAACAATACCTAATTCGAAAAATAAATTAGATTAATTGTAAATGTAAGGTCTTCTCCTATCACTGTGGCAAATTTCAGCTATAAATCCTTGATCACCTTAAGCGACCCGGGGTGATTAGAAGTATTCTTCAAACTTGTCTAAAATTTGACACCTCTCCTTATATTCACAATGAGTATGCTCTAGTACTATGAGTGGATCTGTAACAAGAATTAAATAAGTTGATAATAGTATTATTGTCCAGCAATGAAACGATAAGGCCTTAAGGCTATTATTAAAGATATATTGGTAGTAAAGAACCTACTCGTTATGAATATAAGTATTGCAGGTTGGTGTAATGAAAAGCACAAGTTTGCTTCTCTATGGATGTGATACGAGAGGGCCTGGCTATTCTAAAAATGCATACCTGCCCTTTGACAAACTGAAATTCGTGGTAGTGTTGTGTAGCGACAGTACATTGAAGATAACCGCGGGCTCGATTCCCGTTTGGAACGTTGATAAGACATCTGTGAGCTTGAATCAGCGGCTCCTCTCAGAATTTACTACCTTTTTGCTACAAAGCTGAGCGAAATTCAATGGAATTGTGAGCTATACTGATATGCTCGTCGAAAAATTCACCTATCAGCCCTTAGTTACCTTTCGCGACCTAGGGTAACTACATCTCATATTCGGTTTCTACTGTTAGTATTGGAATCGGCGACAATCCGAGGAGGGGGGCTGCTCTTGCTGATTCCTCTTCTGGTATTCTTATATATTTTATATTCTACTTTACAGCTGTCTTTTCTTGAAATTATTGGATCTACGAAAAATTCGGGTTTATTGCTAAAGTATCGCTGATTCATGTTCCATGCCAGGCTGTATGGAGATCTTATACCATAACGACCTGTTTTTCATTCAGATAGAGTATTCACTAGCGGGCTGTCCGCAGCTAAAATTCAAGAAATTACGATTCCTACATTAGAGGATCATAAATGTGTACAAGCTAGCAAAACTCCAAGCCGAGATATGAGC